AAAAATTAACTTTCCTGGTTCTCAGACATTTGGACTAGGACTAGAACTAAGCCATTATCTCCCCTTGGTCCCCAGCTTGTAGGCTTCAGATTTTAGGACTAGTCAGCTTCCATAATCACATGAGCGAATTTCTTATAATAAATATCTTTTTCTGTCTCTGTGTGTGTGTGTGTGTGTATGTGTGTGTGTGTGTGTGTATAATATATATACATTCTCTTGGTTCTGTTTCTCTGGAAACCCTGATAAATTATACTTGTTGACTCAAATAATTTCTTGCTGGTCTTAGAATGTTTTATATTCAAGATTATGTCATGTTTGAATAGAGATAATTTTACTTCTCTTTTCCCCGATCTGAATACCTTTAAATTCCTTTTTTTTTTTTTTTTTTTTTGGCTGTCTAATTGCACTGGCCAATACTTTCAGTATAATGTTAAATAGAAGTGGTGAGAATAGATATTCTTGTCTTGTTTCTGATCTTAGGGGAAAACATCCAGTTTTTCATCACTAAGTATGATGTTAGCTGTGAGTTTTTTCACAGATTCTCTTTATTAGGTTGAGGAAATTCCCTGCCATTCCTAGGTTTTTTGAGTTCTTATTCTTTTTAATATTATAGGAGAGTTTTGGGTTTTGTAAAATCTTTTTAAAGCATCTATTGAGAAGATTATGTGTCTTTTGTTTTTTATTCTGTTGATATGGTGTATTATATTGATCCATTTCTCGATGTTAAACCAACCAATCTTTCATTCCAGGGATGAGTCTCACTTGGTTATGAAATGCAGTCTTTTTGTATGTTGCTGGATTTAGTTTGCTAGTACTTTGTTCAGAATTTGTGCCTCCATGTTCTTAAGAGATTTTGGTCAGTAGTTTTTTTTTTTTGAGATGTGTTTGTCTGGTTTTGGTATCAGGGTAATACTAATTTCATAGAATAAGTTAAGAAGTGTTTCCTCCTCTTTTATTTTCTTGGAAGAGCTTGTGAAAAATTGACATTAGTTCTTCTTTAAACGTTTGGTACAATTCAGCAGTGAAGCCATTTGGTCTTAAGCTTTTCTTTGTGGGTAATTTTTTGATCACAAATTCAATTTCTTTACTTGTTAGAGGTCTACTGAGATTGTTGGTCTAAGATGGTTGAAGTTATTTAATTTATTGACATGTAATTGTTCATAAGAATATTATAATTATTTTGAATCCTTTATAATCCTTTTTATTTCTATAAGGTTGGTAGTAATGTTCCATCTTTTGTTTCCGGTTCTAGTAATTTGAGTTTTCTCTCTTTTCTTCTCAGCAGTCTAATTAAAGGTTTGTCAATTTTGTTGATCAAAATTGATCAAAAGAACCAGTTTTTGATTTCATCAATTTTTGTAATGGTTTCTTTATCCTCTATTTTATCATTTTCTATTCTAATCTTTATAATGTCCATCCTTATGCTTGCTTTCAGTTTCATTTGCTTTTCTTCTTCCAGTGTTTTAAGGTTAGGTTATTGCTTAGAGGTCTTTCTTCTTTTTTAAATATATGCATTTACAGTTCTAAATTGTCCTCTGAGCAGTGATCCAGCTACATTACTTAGGTTTTGGTATGTCATATCTTTATTATCTTCTTTCTCAAAGTACTTCTAATTTCTCTTTTGATTGTTTCTTTGACCGATTGGTTATTTAGGAGCATGGTGTTTAGCACCCCTTAAATTGAAATAATTACATTTCAAGTGCCTAATAGCCACTATGGCTGGTGGTTACCATATTGAATGGTGCAACTTTATAGAGTTATTCAGTGATGCAAGTTGGGAGGTGAACCTGGTTTATCTGATTCCAAAGAAATAATGCTTGCAAACTGTCTCTCCAATATGTTAAATGTGTAAAATAGCAAGCCTTGCTAATTAGCCACTTTAGGAAGTTTAATTACTTTATTTTGGGAAAGTAATTTTAAACATTTTACTTTTTAAATTATTGAACAATTTTTTATTTGTATATACTTTAGGCATACAACATAATATTTTAATATCCTTTTACATAGTGAAATGATTACTACAGTCAAATAAATTAACATATCTATCACCTTTTATAGTTACCTTTTAAGCTTTAAAAAATTTTAAACGTAGCACACATATAGAAAAATGCACAAAGTATAAATGTACAGCTCAATAAATTATCACAAAACAAACACGTATGCATTCACTACTCAGTTCAAGAAATGGAACGTTGCCAAGTACTCCAGATGTCCCATCTGTGCCACGGCCCAATCTGTATCCTTCTCTTCCTCTGAAAGTGATCATCTCACTTGTAACCAGAGTTGGATTTACCATTAAGACAATACAGCATAAGCTATAGGGGCCCTTATTTACACAGACCTCTTCCAAAGCCCTAAGGTGGGGTGGAGTGCCCAGTCAAGTGTTCATATGGTCATTTGTCATCATTTTTATGTGTTTTTGTAAATTTTACATAAGGAGAATATTTTGACCATAGTCACTTAAGGTGGTGGTGCTTTCTACTCTGACTTTCCTGCCTTCACATTTTGTCTTTTGTTGAGTGGTAATGAAATAGCTATTGATGTTTTTTGACATTTGTCCAAGCCTTAGACTCTGAGCATAGGGGAGTTGAGGATATATTTTATTGAGGTCAGCAAGATTTATTTATGTGGCTCCAAGTCACTTCCATATTCAAACAGTTAAGTTAATGTAGGATTATATGTCATTATTTATATATTCTCCTGCTGATGAACATTGGGTTTATTTTGAGTTTTTGGTTATAACAAATTATACTGACATATCATCTTTGTACATTTCTTTTGGCAAATATACATACACGTTTCCTTTTCCTTTTCTTTCTTTTTTTCTTTTTTGTTTTTTGAGATAGGATCTCACTCTGTTGCCCAGGCTGGAATGCAGTGATACGATCATGACTCAGTGCAGCCTCAAACTCCTGAGTTCAAGTAGCCTTCCCACCTCAGCTTTCTGAGTAGCTGGGACTACAGGTATGTACAACCACACTCGGTTAATTTTTAAATTTTTTATAGAGACAGAGGTATCACTCTATTGCCCAGGCTTGTCTTGAACTCCTGGGCTCAAATGATTCTCCTGCCTTGGCCTCCCAAAATGCTGGAGTTACAGGCTATGCATTTCTTTTTGATATACCTCTCTAGGAATGAAACAACCAGCTCATAGGGTAATTTGTATGTTCAACTTTGGTAGACATACCAAACTGGTTTCCAAAGTGGGTATAAACACATGTTCCTACAAGTAAGCACATGAGGGTTTCCTTTGCTTTACACCTTTGCCAAAAATAAATTAAAAGAATGAGTAGTTTTTACATTTCAGTAATTCTGATGAGGTTGTAATGTTATTTCATTCTCATTTAAATTTGTATATCCCTGATTATTTTTGAGGCCAGGCACGTTGTCAGTCTATCAGTTATGCTAAGTTTCTAATCCATTTGTCCATTGGCTGTCTTACCTTATTGATTTGTAGAAGCCCTTAGTTTTGGCATGAGCTCTTTATCAGTTACATGTGTGGCAAATATTTTCTCCCACTCAGGGACTTGCTGTTTCACTCTCTTCATGGTAGGTTTTGATGACCAGAAGTTCTTACATTTGATTTAGGCTAATTTATTAATCCTTTTGTTTCAGGTTAGTATTGTTTTATTTAAAAACTGTTTCCTGGCCTGGCTCACATCCCAGCACATTTGGAGGCTGAGGCAGGAGGATTACTTGAGCCCAGGAGCTCGAGACCAGCCTGGACAACATAGGGAGACCCCATCTCTATAAAAAATTTAAAAATTAACCAGGCGTGGTGGCTCGTGCCTGTAGTCCTAGCTACCTGGGAGACTGAGGTGGGGGCATCTTCTTGAGCCCAAGAGGTTGAAGCTACAGTGAACCATGATGGCACTACTGCACTCCAGCCTGGCCAACAGAGCAAGATCCTGTCTCAAAATATACAAGATAATAAAAAATAAAAACTATTTCCACACTGCAAAGTTATGAAGATATTCTCCTATTACCATAGGATAATGCTTCCTTTCTGAAGCATTATTGGTTTGTCTTTCAGATTTAGATATATAATTCACATAGACTTGATTTTTATGTGTAATGTGAAGTAAAGGTCAAGTTTCATTTTTCTTATGTGGATATGCAGTTAAATGAGTACTACTTATTGAAAAGATTGTTTTTTTGTCCACTAGTTTGCAGTGACTCATCATTAGACAAGCATCTATACATTCATGAGTTATCTCTTCTTCTCCATTGATCTACTGGTCTACTCTTGTGCCAATACTATGTTATGTTAAAATCTTAAAATAAATCTTTTTTTTTTTTTTGAGATGGAGTCTCACTTTGTCACCCAGGCTGGAGTGCAGTGGTGCGATCTCGGCTCACTGCAAACTCCTCCTCCTGAGTTCAAGCAATTCTTCTCCCTCAGCCTCTAGATTAGCTGGGCTTACAGGCATGTGCCGCCACACTGGGCTAATTTTTGTGTTTTTAATAGATATGGGGGTTTCACTATGTTGGCCAGACTGGCCTCGAACTCCTGACCTCAGATGATCTGCCTGCCTCAGCCTTCCAAAGTGCTGGGGTTACAGGGGTGAGCCACCGCACCTGGACTAAAATAAATCTTCTAATGAGTAGAAGCAGTCATTCTGTCTTATTTTTTCTCTTTCAGAATGTCTTGATTATCGTTGGTCCTTCACATTTCCATATCAATTTTAGAGTCAGCCTGTCAATTTTCATACAAATCCTATTGACATTTTATTAGGATTACATTGTATCAGTAGATCAATTTGAACAGAACTGGCACATGGATGATACCCAATATCATAAATTTGTTATATTTGGTATTTACAAATCAATACATGTAATCTACCATATGTTTAATTTATTAGTCTATGCCTGACTTCTTGAGATGAAAGCATAGATCATTGTTTCTTCCCCAGCCTTTCTTCTTTCTTAACATATTCATTTTAAGGTTACAAGTTGCCCTATGAGCATGACTTTAGTTGGATTCCCCAAAATAATTAGTTAGTTAATCAATTTGTTGACTGATTGATTGTCACACTGCTAGCTCCTCTCAGACTACCCAGTCTTCCTCATGCCCAAAGTGCTCTCATTTCATTCATGGTAACGCCCAAAATCTTTACCTTGGCACACTCATTTCTCCATGATCTGCCCCTATTCCCTAATTGCTGTCAACTCCTACAATTTGTTCCCTTATCCACCTTGCTCCAACCACACTGGCCTCCTTACTGTTCCTCAACAACATCAAACACACTCCTGTCTCACAGCCTTTGCCCTTGCTGCCGCCCCTATCTGGAATGTTTATACTTTAAATAGCCAAAAGAGTTTTACTCTTCCTTCATTCAGGTTTGAGCTGAAATGCACCTTTTTTGGAAAGACCTTCCATGACTACGCTGTATAAAATGGCATTCTCTAGCACTATCACCCATACTTTGATTCTATTTTTCTTCATAATGATACTTCCCAACTGACACAAAATTAATTTACATGTTTATTTATTGTTTGGCTACCAAGTTTTCTTTTCTCTCTAGAATATAAATTTCATGAGGATAAGGATTTTTTGTTCTGTTTTATTTACTTCTGTATCTCCAAAGCCCACAAAATGTGTGGTACATGGTAGATGATTTATAAATACTTGAGTGATGGATTCTGTACTTGGCATCAGAAGATCTGGATTAAATAGTTCTGAATCTGCCACTTATTAGCCATGTGACCATGGGCAACCAAATGAAACTTTCTAAGCCTAGATTCCTTTAATGGTATAGTGGAATAATAATTATTGCCCCTGAGATACTGGGTGTAAAAGTACTTTATGAAGTATATAAACCCATCATAGACATTTTTGATATTATAGTCAGAAAATGTACTGCTTGTCCCAAATTTCTTTCTATTTGGACTTCCTTGGTGATAAAAATTCTCAGGAGAAGTTTTGTTGTGAACATATTGGACATTTTGTTGTGTTTGGCTCCAGCTAAAACATGAGCATTTGTTCCTAGAAAGGATAACATTTTTACACTTCTGTTGCCATTAGTATGTGAGCAGTAATTAATATATGAACTCATTGTCACTGATGACATGGGATATGGGTGGGTAGGTTTTGGTGGAGAAAGCACTAAGCAAATATCTAGAGCATTGCGGGGAGGGGAGTGCTGGAAAGGTCATTCTAAGTGGGTGCCTGGGGAAAAAATTTAAAAGTTCTTTATTAACCAGGTTAGGCTATGTTACACTCCAGCACAAAACAACCTCAAATTCTCAGAAGCGTATCAGGAAAGGTTGATTTCTTATCCAAATAGTCTTCTGTGGTTCCATAGTACTCTCCAGGGGTTGGGAAGAGATAGTTGTTATTATTTCACATGCCTATGTGGGAACTTTTTAGGGAGTCTTAGTTAAACAACTTTGATAAATTTAATAAAGTTTTGTAAGACTACCACAGTACAAATCTATCTTGGCAAAAGATTTTACAGTTTACATAGGAATATGCTTGACGATACTATTATTATTTTGTAGCCCCTTTGACATAGAGTTTAGGTACAATTATCACATTTTCTAACTGCAAGTTGTATCCTATGTTTTGATGGATATGTATGTTTTTGGGGAAATGGGACTTAATATTTGACTTAGAACCTTTAAAAGAATGCTGCCATTTATTGAGTAATTATTGTGTACCAAGTAGCACAGCAAAAGCTTTGAATACCTTATCTCATTTGATGTTCAAAACAGCTTCCTGAGGGCGATACTATTACTACATTCACCTTATAGTGAGGAAACTGATGTTCAGAGATGTGGAGTAATTTGTCTCCAGTCACACAAGTAAGTGGAAGAACTCAGGCCAAATTCAGGTCTGTTTGACTTCAGAGCTTGTGGTGTTTACCACAACACAACGCTACCTACCTCTTCCCAGATAATATATTCTGCATGTATAATTGCCTTAGGTCTATCAGCAGCCCAAAATAGATGATGACAATGAATATATTAATGTAGAAGGGTTATATTAATGATCTCACAACATTTGGACCTGAGTGTAGAACCCCAAAGATGTTCTGTTGTATATGTTTAACATTCTCAGTGTCACAGTCACTCCTTTGGGTTAAGACTTTGCCTGTGATAGACCCAGGTAAAATGCAACTATCCTTCCTGGGAGCGAAAATAAATTAACACGATCACTATGACCAGCAAGAAATAGCTGATTTCTATCATCAGGGAATAACCAAATGAAGAAGACGAATTTAAAATAGTTTGTTAGAAAGCAATTTAATATAATATATAATCAAATGAGAACTTAAATGTAACTGAGTGGAAGTTATATTTTGCGTAACTATAATGGGTAGGCCAGTGAGGGAAGGGTTTTATAATTGAAAATAGTTATCAGGAAAGGATTCTTGGAGTAGTTGGCACTTGGTATGAGTCTTGAGTCACTTGGAAACCAGGTACTATATGTGTCTAATCATCCTGATTTTAGAAACCTATACGTCTCTCTTTTTTTTCTGCCCATAAGAGTCCACCTGTTTCCATCTTCTGTTTCTCTGCGAAAATGCTGCTGCTTTTCACTGTAATCATGTGACTTGAATGGGAGCTGCCATCTTTTTAGAGCTCTTTCTCCTAGACAGTGTTGATTGGCTCAGAGACAGGCACTTGATTTAGTCCAGGCTAATCAGAATACTCAAACTTATGTCCACATTGGTGAGTTCAGTGATAAGTACCTGACCCAGGATTAGTCAATTCTATCAATTGGTAGGATATTTGAGTTTGAGACTAGAAAAAGTGAATCTCAATGCTTCTATGGGTTTTGCTTTTGTGTTGTAAGATTTGACGTTCTAGAGCTCTGGGTGGCCACGTTCCTGGTTGGTCTATTCTAAGAAAGAATGAGGTGCCCTGTGGGGTTGAAATAGAAATGAGAGACACAAGGAAAGAAAGGTGGCATTTCCATTTCTGGTCTCTGAGCTCCATCTTTATGCACTGTTTTGGCTGTTCAATCTTCAGCTAAATAACTTCTAATAACTCCACTGCCACCGCCATCTAGCTATGCTCTTGGTTAATTTGAGTTGAATTTTTGTCACATGTAACTGAGAATCCTGACTAATATTTCATTGTGACTTTATATTGAAGTAGGAAGAATAAAAATTATCTTTATTTTACAGGGAGAAAATGAGGCTCAGAAAAAATATGTAACCAAGATACTAAAAAAGTGTAGGAGTTAATCCAAAGTAAACGTCAAATCTTTTCTCACTGGAGAAAACATTGCTAGGTACAAGGAGCTAGGTCATGAAAAGTCTACTGGCTTAGGAGACTCAGTATATGAACTATGAATAAAATAGTTTCCCACCTCTTAGGGTATTCTGAATGTTCTGACACCAGATTTTGGTGTCATTTTAGGTTGGGTTTTTTTGTTGTTGTTGTTTTTGTCAGTAAAATCCTGGCTTTTGAGGAAAAAGGAGGAAGTTCAATTCCACCACAGAACCCACTTCCCTTTTTACTTTAGGTCCATGGGGTTGCCCAGGTCTGAAACAAGTTAATAACTATCTTTTTTATACTATAGTGACATAACTCTGAAAAGAATGGGTGTTTGATAAGGATTAATTTCAAAATGATACCAAATAATTGATTGTTCCACTCTTATCAAAGCACACTCAAATCCGTACTAACCTAGGGATGCAGAAAGATTCAGAAAGAACAATCCTTTGAATTTTGGGACAAATTTAGAGAAATATATCCTTAATAAACAAAAAAAGAAAATGAACTTAGGACATATAAAACTTTACATTTTGCCATATTTCAAATAAGATTTAAGATAGCTTAAAAGAATATAAACATATAAGAAGACGATTTAAGTTAAAAGTGGAAGAGAGGCTGGGTGTGGTGACTCATGCCTGTATTCCCAGGGCTTTGGGAGACCGAGCTGGGCGGATCACTTGAGGCCAGGAGTTCATTTGAGACCAGCCTGGCCAACATGGTGAAACCCCATCTCCACTAAAAATACAAAAGCCGGGCATGGTGGCACATGCCTGTAGTCTCAGCTACTTGGGTGACTGTGGCAGGTGAATCGCTTTAGCCCGGGAGATGGAGGTTGCAGTGAGTCAAGATTGCGCCACTACACTCCAGCCTGGGTGACAGAGTGAGACTCTGTTTCAAAAATAAATAAAATAAAGTAGAAAAAAACCCCCAAAAATGATAAGATAGGGACATTAAATGGAGTTAGAAATAAGGCTAATAAATAATGAATATGCTACACCATGGAACACTACTCAGCCATAAAACAGAACAAAATAATGGACTTTGCAGCAACTCGGATGGAGCTGGAAGCCATTATCTTAAGTGAAATAATTCACAAATGGATAACCAAATATTGTATGTTCTCACTTGTAAGTGGGAGCTAAGCTATGAGGATGCAAAGGCATAAGAATACTTTGGGGACTTAGAGGGAAGAGTGGGAGGGAGGTGAGGAATAAAAGACTACATATATTGGGTATAGTGTATACTTCTCAGGTGATGGTGCATCAAAATCTCAGAAATCCCCACTAAAGAATGGATCCATGTAATCAAAAACTACCTGTACCCCCAAAACTATTGAAATAAAAAAAAATAAAAAAATAAATGGATGTGACACAGTCCTATATGTATTTGACAACTAGCCCCAAGTTGAGTTGGACTTTAAGCTTTCTTGTTGTCAATGCAAATAGAGAAACTCAACCAATTACACAGTTTTGCAATGTCCACAAGACAAATGTTTAGGAAAAGTACAACTGCATCTAATACTATGTCCAGAAATAATGTGTCCCTGGGTTCTTACAAAGAGCACACTGTATTATAAAATACAAAATGCCTAAAGATCCTCCTTCCAGGAGGCCCAAGGATGAGGTTCACAGGCCTGGTTCTTATAGGTGGAAGCATTATTTCTCAAATTTCAATTGTCTTTATTATTTCTGCCATATATACTTACTAAATTTACTATTATTATCATTATTATTATTTTTTGAGAGAGAGTCTCACTCTGTCACCCAGGCTGGAGTGCAGAGGCATGATTTCAGCTCCCTGCAACCTCTACCTCCTGGGTTCAAGTGATTCTTCTGCCTCAGCCTCCCAAGTAGCTGGGATTACAGGTGGGCGCCACCACACCCAGCTAATTTTTTATATTTTTTTGGTAGAGACATGGTTTCACTATGTTGGCCAGGCTGGTCCCAATCTCCTGACCTCAAGTGATCTGACCGCCTTGGCTTCCCAAAGTGCTGGGATTACAGGCATGAGCCACTGTGCCCGGCTAGAAATTATTAACCTAATATTTTTTTTTAATGTAGATTTTATTTTGACTCAGTTTTAAACTTAACCTAATCTTAGCAAGGTAGATAAGCTAGTTATGTTTTTTTTCTAATATCCTTTAAGTCAAGTTTATAAGGATTAAAATTTTAAAGTCTATTTTAATCTACAATTTTCTTATGTACCATTAATAGTTTGTAGGCTACACCTTGGGAAACACTGACTTAAGGAAAAGGAAAAATCCAGTTTTTGAATATCCATGACCTCACTGCATTTTAATATTTCTTGAGAGGTGTCATCTTAATATTTATTGAGAGGTATTATTATCACCAACAGAGATGGGGAAACAGGTTAAAGAATTTTTGTAAGTTTCCACAATAACTGAGCAGAGATGAAACTCAAGTCTTCTGATGAAAATCAAGTTCTGGCTTCTAGATGGGTGTCCAGAGGCCTTTTTTCCAAACTGAAGTACAAACTCTCTTTGACTGTTTACCCATTTGCTTCCTGCCAGAATGCCCCACCCCACTTAGTCCATAGTGGTGCCCACCTGTGGTTAATGGAGCTGAGGCTGCTGAAACAAAGGGAGGAAGTCTGTCAGGCATATGTGGAACCCAAAAGAGGAACTTCATCAACTGTCATGGACAGCTCTGCCACTTTGTGACCCTGTGGATTTTTTGGGAAGTGTTTTTGTGGTTCACCAGTCTCTCATTTGGCAAGGCCACTTGTCCCGGGTTGGTCTTCTTTATTGGTGGAAAGTACGGCTGGGAGATTTGGAATGGTTGCAGATTGACTTGACTCTCGGCAGGAACTGCCACCATGAGCTTTTGGGGAAAGACCTCAAGCTGTGGTTTGTTGCTGAGGATTGTGGGATTCCTTCAAATCTTGGGGAACGTTTTGAGTCATCACTGGCAGCAGGTTTCTGTTGACAACTTGAGCAACCTCAGAATGAAGAAGCTGTGTTCATCTCTCACATGAATATGACTTTGGGTAAATCATCTCGAAATCTGAACTCATGGTTGTGATCCACACTCCTCCCAAGTTCTAATTTTTAGTGTAAGCCTTTTTCTTCTCATTTTTTCTTCTTTGTGCATCTCTTAAGGAGATTTTTTACATCTCATAATTAAAACATTTATTTCTTCAAAACTTTTTATTTTGAAATCACTGTAAATTCACATACATTTGTATAAAATGCCACAGAAAAATCCTGTGTGCCTTTTACTCAGTTTATCCTAATGATAACATCCTTAAAGAGATTTAAAAATTAGGCCCAGATTGTTCCCTTTCCACTATGGTGGTCCTCCAGTCGACCAGGCGTGGGCTGCATGGTAGCTCTTTTGCAGGATTCTACAGCCTGGAGTAATAAGTCGTGCCAGCCTCTCTCTGCTATATCCCAAAGTCCGGCACCCTGCGGGTCAACCCCCAAGGGCCATCCAGCCTCTGTCTCCCAACACTAAGTTCACTTCATGTCTCTCACGACAGGGAGGAAACTTAGCATTCCTTGGAGACTTGAAGGGATACGGTGAGCTTAAAAATTTTCAAGAGCTTATCAATCAGTCAGCCCTTGTTCATCCCCAAGCGGATGTATGGTGGTATTGTGGTGGACCTTGACTGGGCAGTCTGCCAAATAACTGGAGTGGCACTTGTACTTTAGTCCAGTTGGCTATCCCTTTCACCCTGGCATTTCATCAACCAGAGGGAGGAAAAATAAGATGTCGTAAAGCAAGAAAAGCCTCTTATTGGTCTTTCAACTCTCACATCCGTTTAGACACAATTAGAGTCCCACAGGGAATACCAGATCAATTTAAAGCTTGAAATTAAATAGCTCTAGGATTGGAGTCAGTATTTTGGTGAGTGACAGTTAATAAAAATGTAAATTGGATAAACTATATCTATTACAACCAACAGCAATGAGCTTTTCACGAGTTAAAAGAAAAACTCAAGTCGGCCCCAGCCCTGGGGCTACCTGACCTGACAAAACCCTTTACACCCTATACATCAGAAAGAAGAAAAATGACAGTTGGAGTTTTAACCCAGACTATGGGGCCCTGGCCAAGGGCAGTGGCCTATCTCTCAAAACAACTAGATGGGGTTTCCAAAGACTGGCCTCCATGTCTAAGGGCCCTGGCAGCAACGGCCCTGTTAAGTACAAGAAGCAGATAAACTAACCCTTAGCAAAACCTGAATATAAAGGCCCCTCATGCTGTGGTAACTTTAATGACTACCAAAGGACATCACCGGTTAACAAATGATAGATTAACCAAGTATCAAAGATCGCTATGTGAAAATCCCTGCATAACCACTGAAGTTTGCAACACCCTAAACCCCGCCACCTTGCTCCCGGTATCAGAGAGCCCAGTTGAACATAACTGTGTAGATGTGTTGGACTCAGTTTATTCTAGCAGGCCCCAACCTCTGAAACCATCCTTGAACATCAGTAGACTGTGAGTGGTACGTGGACGGGAGCAGCTTCGCCAACCCCTGCAAAGTGACTCTGGAGAAGACGACAAGCCCTGCTCCAGTCACACCCAGAAGCTGACTGGACCATGCACGGCCGAAGCATGAGGAAACTCATTGCGGGACTCATTTTCCTTAAAATTTGTACTTGTACAGTAAGGACTTCAACTGACCTTCCTCAGACTGAGGACTGTTTGCAGTGTATATATCAAGTCACTGAGGTGGACAAAAAGTTGCTACAATTCTATTATTTTATGATTATTATAAGTGTACCGCGACTATAAAAAAAAAAAAAAACAAAAAACTTGTTTGTATAATGCTATTCTATGCAAGGTATGGAGCCCAGGAAATGACCAACCTGATGTATGTTATGACCCATCTGAGCCTCCCATGACCACAGTTTTGGAAATAAGATTAAGGACTGAGGACTGGTAAGGGCTCATAAATGATACGAGTAAAGTGTTAGCCAAAACAAAAGAAAAAGGGGTGCCCTAACAAGTCACCTTGAAGTTTGATGCCTGTGCTGTCATTAATAGTAATAAGTTAGAAATAAGATGTGGTTCTCTTAATTAAAAAAGAGGCTATATGGCAGAAAATAAGGACATTTGCAATGAACTAGGACTGTGTAAAAATAAATGTGGATACTGGTCTTGTGTCATTTAGGCTACTTAGATAAAAAATAAAAAGAAACCTGTCCACCCTCAGAAAAAAAAAGTGGCCCTTCCTGTACCAGTGGCCAGTGTAACCCCTTAGAACTAGGAATAACCAATCCCTTGATCCTCGCTGGAAAAAAGGGGAGTGTGTAACCCTAGGAATCAATAGGGCTGGACTAGATCCTCGAGTAAATATTGTGGTTTGAGGAGAAGTTTATAAATGCTCTCCTGAGCCAGTATTTCAAACCTTCTATGATAAACTGAATGTGCCAGTACCAGAAATTCCAGGAAAAACAAGAAATTCGTTTTTGCAATTATCTGAGCATGTATCCCAGTCTCTCAATGTCACTTTATGTTATGTATGTAGAAGAACTGTAATAGGAGATCAATGGCCATAGGAAGCCTGAGAATTGGTACCTACAGACCCAGTTCCTGATGAATTCCCAGCTCAGAAGAATCACCCTGATAACTTCTTGGTCGTTAAAGCCTCAATCATTAGACAATACTGTATAGCAAAACTGAGGAAGGACTTCACCCTTGCTGTAGGAAGACTCAGCTGCCTTAGGCAAAAACTGTATGATACTACTACAAAAACAGCCACCTAGTGGAGTTTAAACCACACTAAGAAAAATCCATTTAGTAAATTCCCAAAGTTGCAAACTGTGTGAACCCACCCAGAGTCCCACCAGGACTGGACAGCTCCCATTGGATTATACTGGATATGTGGGCCTAGAGCTTACACCAAATTACCCAACCAGTGGGCAGGTGGTTGTGTTATTGGCACCATTAAACCATCTTTCTTCCTACTGCCCATAAAGACAGGTGAACTCCTGGGCTTCCCTGTCTGTGCTTCCCACAAAAAGAGAAGCATAGCTATAAAAAATTAAGAAGATGATAAATGGCCCCCTGAGAGAATCATACAATGTTATAGGCCTGGCACTTGGGCACAAGATGGCTTGTGAGATCACCCAACCCCCATTTACATGCTCAACCGAATCATACGGTTACAAGCTGTCTTAGAAATAATCACTAATAAGACTGGCAGAGCCTTGACTATTGTGGCCTGGCAAGAAACTCAGATGAGAAATGCTATCTATCAAAATAGATTAGCTCTCGACTACTTGCTAGCAGCTGAAAGAGGGGTCTGTAGAAAATTTAACTTTACTAATTGCTGTCTACACATAGGTGATCAAAGGCAAGTAGTTGAAGACATAGTTAGAAATATGACAAAACTGGCGTGCAAGTGTGGCATGGATTTGATCCTAAGGCCATGTTTGAAAAATGGTTCCCAGCACTAAAAAGATTTAAAACTCTTATAATAAGAGTTATAATAGTAATAAAAACCTGCTTACTGCTCCCTTGTTTGCTACCTGTACTTCTTCAAATGATAAAAAGCTTCATTGCTACCTTACTTCACCAAAATGCTTCAGCACAAGTGTACTATATGAATCACTATTGATCTGTCTTGCAAGAAGACATAGATAGTGAAAATGAAAGTGAGAACTCCCACTATTGAGTGAGATTCTCAAAGGTGGGGAATAAGGGAGGAGACCACCCCTCATATTGTCTTATGCCCAATTTCTGCCTCCAAAGAAAGAAGTAAAAACTAAAAGGTAGAGATGAAATCCACAGGCAGACAGCCTGGTGCCGCACCCCGGGCCTGGTTAAAGATGGACCCCTGACCTAACTGGTTATGTTATCTATAAATTCCAGACATTGTATGGAAAAGTGTTGTGAAAATCCCTGTCCTGTTCTGTTCTAATTACCGGTGCATGCAGCCCCCAGTCATGTACCCCCTGCTTGCTCAGTAGATTGTGACCCTCTCAAGTGGACCCCCTTAGAGTTGTAAGCCTTTGAAAGGGACAGGAATTGCTCACTCAGGGAGCTTGGTTTTTGGAGATGTGAGTTTTGCCAAAGCTCCCGGCCGAATAAAGCCCTTCCTTCTTTAACTTGGTGTCTGAGGGGTTTTGTCTGTGGCTTGTCCTGCTACAAAGCAATCTTTCTGCCTCAGCCTCCCGAGTAGCTGGGACTACGGGTGTGCACTGCCATACCCAACTAATTTTTAAACTTTTAATAAAGACAAGGTCTCACTATGTTGCCCAGGCTGGTCTCAAACTCCTGGTCCCAAGCACTTCTCCTGCTTTGGCCTCCCGAAGTGCTGGGATTACATGTGTAAGCTGCAATGCCTGGTGAGTATTATCTTTGTAATGTGCTATTGAATTTGATTTGCTAGTATTTTGTTGAGGATTTTTGTATCTACATTCATCAGGAATATTGAGCCATAGTTTTTTGTTTTTTTTTTCGCTGTGTCCTTGTCTGGTTTTGGTATTAGGGTGATATTGATCTCATAGCATGAATTAGGGATAATTCCTTCCTCCTCAATTTTTTTGAATAGTTTCAGGAAGACTGACATTAATTCTTCTTTGTATAGTTGGTAGAATTTGAATGTGAATCCATCTGGTTCTGGGCTTTTTTGTTGGGAGATTTTTTAAATTATTGACTAAATTTTACTGTTCATTATTGGTCTGTTTAGGTGTTCTATTTCTTCCTGGGTCAATCTTGGAAGGTTATATGTTTCCAGGAATTTATCCATTTCCTCTAGGTTTTCTAGTTTGTTAACATATAGTTGTCCATTATAGTCTCTGATGATCTTTTGTATTTCTGTGGTATCAGTTGTGATGTCTCCTTTTACATTTCTGATTGTGTTTATTTGGATCCTCTGTCTTTTTGATTAATTTAGATAGTGGTTCATCAGTTTTATTTATCTTTTTGAACAATTACCTTTTTATCTCATTGATCTTTTTTTTCTGTTCTCATTTTATTTAGTTCTGCTCTGATCTTTGTCATTTGTTTTCTTCAGCTAACTTTGGATTTGGTTTGTTCTTGTTTTTCTAGTTCTGTGAGGTATGCCATTAGGTTGTTAATTTGTGACCTTTCTGCTTTGTTGGTGTAGGCATTTAATATGGTAAAATGTACTCAGTATTGCTTTTGTAGTGTCCCATGGGTTTTGGTATATTGTCTTTTCATTTTCA